ACCTTTCTCACTGTTCCTGATCAGCTTCTCCTCTCAGCAAGCACTCAATCCATTTTTCTAATCTTTCCTCTGAAATTCTAGGCTCCAGGATTTTCATCTTTGTCTGTTTCATTTGGTCTCTCATATCGTTATTTTAGTGCATCGGCCTAGACCACCATCTTGCTGAAAGTATGCATATAATATTAATCATTACAGAGATTTTTAAAATAAAATTAGGAATGGGCTATTTACAAATTTTTGCATTCCACTGTTTTAGCTTTAGAATATACTGAATCTTCTGTAACAATAAGTACACATTTAAACTGTTATGTGATTTTTTTTTTTTTTTTAATGTTAGCTTTTAGTATATTCCCCAAGTTATGAGAGATTTAGAATCAGGAACTAATTCTGTATTCAGGTCCCAAATTATTTTAGAAGCTGAAAACTAACAACTGACCAGGTCTAAACACTAACCACATAAACCTACTAATGTGTTTTGAGTACTGACAATGTGTCAGGCCTTATGCCAACGGCTCTAAAAACATTACCACAATTTAATGCTCACCAAATCCTATGAGGCTGATATTATTTTCTAAATTTTACAAATAAAGAAACTAAGGCTAGAGAGGATAAATAATGTGTTTAGAAGCATCTGGCTTATAAATACTAAATTAAGATCTATTATATTTCAAAGCCTTAATTTTCTTAGAGAGTTTTTACAAATACGTATCATTAAAATAGCATCCATAAATCATATCAGATGAGAAATGTTCCTCGTGACCATCATCTCTAAAACAATTCTAACAAGGAAAAGGATTTCACTAACACAACAGACAAAAAACTAACCGCTAAGACCTAGAATCCACCAACGCCATTTCTCCCATCACTATGAATGAGCCATATACACTTCACTCACTCTTAAATGTTATAAGTGGAGAGAATGTTCAGATCCTCAGTGAGTCCACTGAGACCCAGATAAGAGAAGTCACTTCCACAAGCAGGAAGTTCAAATCTCCCACTACCACATTTTTCAAACTCTAAAACCCAAACCAGGCTGCCTTTTTAAATCTTTGGTTACTACTATGAAGGCAGGAGCCACAATTGCTCACTAAGCAAAACTTCTGAGTAAATGGTATATGTCAGTTTCAATTCCTTCCAATACTATCAAAAAATTTTATAGAGACAGCATGTTTATTATAATTAAAATAAAATCTTTTTTTAAAAGAATGTGGACTTTTGGCACTGTCTTCTTGGTTTTTCCACATGGCAGGATGGAAGTATTCAAAAGAAAAGAACCTTTCAGACACAGCTATGTTCTTGGAGAATTTTCTGGTAGTAACAACTTTCTGATTTGCCGTTCCTAATGCTAGCTGCTCTGCTCATTATAAAAGTCACTGTTAGGACTGCAGAAGACCCAGCATGCCTTGCAGATGCTGCCTCACCCTCTGTTCTTACACTCATTGAAGTCTATGAACTTGTCAACTATCAAATGCACTCAATTATTGTCTTATATCCACAAGAGGTGGAATCTCTTCATTCTGTACAATGGGAAATCATTGTAGCTTATCTTTTATGGTGATTGTTTTGATTATGTGTTTGACAGCTCTTAAATATAAGAATCTAATTTTTCTATTTTGTTTTTGTTTGTTTTTTTTAAAAAAGCCCAAAGTTTTTTCACAAAAGACTCCATTTGGCAGAGTCTAGGAGATCTAGAGTCAGAAAACCAAAAAGGAAGAACGTGCTCAGTATTTCTCAAGCTTGAGGAACTGAAGAAAAAATTCAAGCCTCGATTTTATTATTGAAGGATTCTCTGGGGATATTATTGAATGATGCAGGATGCATTAAAAGAAGATGGAAGGAATATACAGAGTCACTGTACCAAAAGGAAATGGTTGATGTTCAATCATTTCAAGAGGTAGCACATGATCAAGAGCCAATGATACTGAAGGAAGAAGTTCAAAGTTCATTGAAGGAATTGATAAAGAACAAAGCACCAGGAATTAATGGAATAAAACTTGAAATCTTTCAAGAAAGTGATGGGGCACAGAAGGCACTCACTCATCTATGCCAAGAAATTTGGAAGACAACTATCTGACCAACTGATTGGAAGATATCCATATCCGTGCCCATTCCAAAGAGAGACCCAACAGAATGCAGAAATCTTCGGACAATCTCTTTGATATCCCTTGCAAGTAAATTTTACTAAAAGTAACACAGAAATGGCTGCAAACATACATTGACAAAGAACTTCCAGAGGTTCAAGCCGGATTCAGAAGAGGCCATGGAATGAGGGATATCATGGCTGTTGCCCAATGGATCTTGGCTGAAAGCAGAGAATATCAGAAAGATGTTTACCTGTGTTTTATTGACTACGCAAATGCTTTCGATTGTGTGGATCATGACAAGCTATGAACAACATTGCAAAATATGCGTATTCCTGAACACTTAAGTGTGCTCATGAGGAATCTGTACATGGACCAAGAAGCAGTTGTTCGAATAGAACACGGCAACACTGAATGGTTTAAAATTAAGAAAAGTGTGTGACAGGATTGTATTCTTTCACCATACTTATTCCACCTGTATGCTGAGTAAATAATCTGAGAAGCTGGGTTATATGAAGAAAAATGTGGCATCAGGATTGGAGGAAGACTCATTAACAACCTGTGATATGCAGATGGTACAACCTTGCTTGCTGAAAGTGAAGAGGACTTAAAATATTTACTGATGAAGATCAAAAAACCACAGCCTTCACTATGGATTGCATCTCAATGTAAAGAAAACAAAAATTCTCACCACTGGACCAATAAACAACATTCTTATCAACAGAGAAAAAAAAAAAAAAAAAGATGAAGTTCTCAAGGACTTCATTCTTCTAGTATCAACTATCAACACTCATGGAAGCAGCATTCAAGACATCAAACGATGTATTGCATTAGGCAAATCTGCTGCACAAGACCTTTTTAAAGTGTTGAAGACCAAAGATGTCAGTTTGAGGACTAAGGTGCATCTGACCCAAGCCATGGTATTTTCAATAACCTCATATGGATGCGAAAGCTGGACAGTGAATAAGGACGACCATACAAGAATTGATGCATTTGAGTTATGATGTTGGAGGAGAATACTGAAAGTGCCATGGGCAGCCAAAAGAACCAATAGATCTGTGTTGGAAGCAGTACAATCAGAGTGCTCCTTGGAGGCCAGGGTGGCCAAACTTCGTCTCTCATACTTCAGACATATTGTCAGGAGGGACCAGTGGCTAGAGAAGGACATCATGTTTGGTAAGATGGAGGATCAGAGAAAAAGAGGAAGACCCCCAGTGAGATGGACTGACAAAATGGGCTCAAGTGTGGCAATGATAGTGAAGTTGGCCCAGGATCAAGCAGTGTTTCGTTCTGCTGTGCATAGGGTTGCTATGAATTGGTACCAACTCGATGGCATCTAACAACAACAACAACAACAACAACAGCCTAGTGAAAGAGTCCTAGTGTCGTACTGTAGGATAAATACTGGACTTCTAACTGCAAGGTCAGGGATTCAACCACACCTTGGAAACCCTGTACAGGGTCATTATGAGTCAAAACTGACTTGATGGCACTTAACAATAACAACGGAGGCTAATGAAAGGAATCACGCTGTACAATGGTCAAGTATTTACTTGATAACAGAAAGATTGGCTCCATAAGAGGATATGAAAACAATAAAAAAAAAAAAAAAAAAGGATATGGCAGTCAGCTTCAATAAAAGTTACTACTTCAGAACCCCTATGGGGTGATTCTTAAACTCAGAAGGAACAGGTCTGGTTAGTTGTTTGTTTAGCTAATAGGAGTCAACATTGCCCAAACAGCCTGTATGAAGATAGCAAAGTGGCAAAATTAAACTTAAGAATACAGAAATTTAATTTACTCTACCAGCCGCTCCGCCGTAAAGATTTACACCCTTGGAAACCCTGTACAGGGTCGCTATGGGTCGGAATCGACTCGACGGCACTTCACAATCACAATCAATCAATCACCCTTCATACCCTCCAGTGTTGAAGCTCTCTGAGTCATAGATCAAGGGTCACATTGAGAAACAGGACCAGCTTCACTGTTACGTGATCTGTGCAGTTATACCAGCCCCCACACTTAGAAAGATCCACCCTTGGTTTGATGCTTTGCTGTCACCATCTTGAAATCCTGACTCTTTGAACAAAGTGCCACACATTTTCATTTTGCTCTGGAACCCACAAATTGAGGTAAGGGGTCAGGCTTAGGAATCACAAAGTTCTGGAATCTCTTGCCAATGCTGACTTTCTTAAATAAAGCTACTACTCTGAAGTTTTTCAATACCACAGCCTTGGGTACTTTTTCATATATTGTTACTGAGCCCATATCTGATATTAAAAACTATTTCTACTTGGAAATATGTTATAGCCAGTGTAATAGGAAAAATTATTATTATTATTATTTATTGTATTTTATTTTATTTTTATGAAAAGCATAAAGAACTTTCAGGAACCAGCATAGATGTAGCGCAAGGCTCAGAGCTAAGCAATCTTAGGCAAATTTCTAAATTTCTCTGAGCCTCAAATTTCCTTTTCTGTAGTGTTATTAATTAGCTATTCTCATTGTGAGTATCCCATGATGCCCAGTAGAAAGGGCTGAGTTGCAAATAAATTGTTAATTTCAGAATTAAAGAATCAAAAGATTAATCATAGTTTAGACCTTATATAGTCCAACCCTTTGATTTTATAAACAAGGTCCAAAGAATGGAGGAAATTTGTAAGATAGTTCATCACCGACCTGGAATTGGAACCCAATCTTTGGTTCCTTTTCTATAAAACTATGCTGACCATGTGCATGATACTAAGCCAGGGATGAGTAAGACATGGAGTAGCTGCACTGTGTCCACTGCAGAGAGGGTGGCATACAGTACAAGCTTCTCCCATGTGCCTATTGTTCATGGAGGCCCTGCTGACAAGAAAGGCACCCTCAGATGTTGCCTGGCTCAGAATCAAAGAAGGGGAGATTCATAAGCATTACCTTTAAGGCCTGGGACAAGAATCTGCATGGAGCAGGTCTCTTCAGCTGTCTGTTGAGGATAAGCAGATCTTAGCAGCGACAGGAAGGCGAGGCTAATTAGAGTGCCCAGAAAAGCCAGATCTCTCTTCATAATGAATGCTTGCAGGTCATTGACTCCTAAGTAAAAGAAGGAATAAACAGTAACGGGAATTCTGAAATTTGGAACTGAAGCTGACAGTGTGCAGTGCCATAGGTCTACCAGGCTCACAGTCCAATCTCCTAGAATCATCCAGAGGCTCCCCATCACACCACTGGTTCTCTGCCACAGAGTCTCACACTATTGCTCACCTTTCCATGAATACTACACCTCCAAGAAAGTCCTGGTGTGGCACTGCAGGGTAATACACTGGACCACAAGGTGGGTTTGAACTACAAGATCAGCAGTTCAAACTTACCAGCCACTCCTAGGAAACCCTATACAGGGTTGCTATGAGTCAGAACCAACTTGAGGGCACTTAACAACAACTTACAATGCTAGGTACTTGTTCAGTCATTTACTCACTCATTCATACATCTATTAATAAACCTTCACTGAGAAAGTTATTTTGCCTTACCCTGTGCTAGGCACAGTGCATTTTGTAAAATGCAGTTCTAGCCCTTGTTCAATAAACAACCCACCTACACTATATGTTAATATATATATATATATATATATATATAAATGCCTACTCTATGTAAAGGAACACAGTGACTCCATATGATAAACACTGCACTGCAAACCACAAGGTCCGTGGTTCAAGCCTGCCAGTCGTTCCATGGAATAAAGATGAGGCTTTCTCTTCCTGTGAAGATTTAATGTCTCAGAAATCCTGTAAAGGGTCATGAGTTGGAACTGACTTGACAACACTTAATAACAACATACATAAGGTACTGGAGTAGTGTTTGAAATACATCATTGAGCAAAACAAAGATGCCTGTTCTCAAGAAGCTCACATTCTAATTTTTCATACTGACCATTCCAAAACAGCGAAAGAAGATAGGGTTCTGTATAACTTATCTGGGAACAGAGATGTGGGTCATCTAATGCAGAACTATGGTAGGAAAGAAGAGAGTTTGGAAGGTGGTTGAGAAACATTCTAGGGGGAAATTACCTAGGCACAATTAAAAAAAAAACACTGCTGTAAATTACGACTGATGGCAACCCCATATGTTACAGAGAGGAACTGCCCCATGGGGTTTTCTTGGCTGTAATCTTCACAGAAGTGTCCCCAGTCCTTTCTTCTATAGTGGTGCTAGATAATTCAAATTACTAACTTTTAAGTGAGTACATATTATGTTGTTGTTGTTGTTGTTGTTGTTGTTATGTGCCACTGAGTTAGTTCGGACTCATAGCAACCCTGTACAGGGTTTCTGAGTCCAGAAATCTTTACGGGAAAAGAAATTCTCTTCTTTCTTCTTAGAAGTAGCTGGTGGTGACCTTGTGGTTAGTAGTTTAGTGCTTATGCTACAGCATCACCAGCGCTGGCTATAGTACAAACTATTTGCATCACCCAGGGACCTAGGCACGTAATATATTTATTCTAAGTAACTATTTAATTCATAGACAAGAAATCCTTGATGGCAAACCTGCATGTAAATGCCCAGAGGGGGTCATTCTGGTGTCACTCAGGATGGTAGACTTCAGAAATTAGAGGACCACTGAGGTAAAAGGCACTGGTAACTTGGCAGGAGACAATCTGGAAGGGAAAGGCACAGTAGCCATCCTAAAGTGACAAAGGGAAGAGAGGCATCCCATCTTCTTTAATAAAATAGATTTAGAGAATTGCAGGAAGACAATTTTTGGCCAGTACTTGGTCATCTCTGAGAGTGTCCTTAATTAGAATAATCAACTTCATCACTTTCTTTTTATTCTTTTTAATATGAATTGAGTCAAGGTTTACAGAAAAGATCATCAGTTTGTATTCAACAAATCATACACTGTGTTGCATCTCAATGATTGCAATCACCCCAATGCAACAACAGTTGTTCTGCTTCTTCCCTGTGGTTCCTATTTCTACTCCACCCACCTTCCCATCCCCTCTCAACTTTGTTCCCAAGTAAATGTGGCCCTTCTGATCCTAAATGATTGACCATTCCATCATTCATAGTGAGTATACCTTACAAGTGTTGGGCCATGAGGGTGAGTTTCCTTCAAAACCTGAAGAGTGGTCAAGAGCCATAGTCTCAGATACCTCCAATCTCTTTCTGACCAGTAAATCTGGTTTTTTGTTTGTTTGTTTAATAATTTTGAGTTTTGTTCCACATATTCTGCCATTCTAACCAGGACCTTCTGTGATCCCTTTCAGAGCAGTTGGTAGTGGTAGCTGGGCACCATCTAATTCTTCTGGTTTCTCAGTCATGGAGACTGATGTTCACATGTCCCATTAGTCCACTGAACTAATCGATTCTACACATCTTCAAGTATCATTGCTCTTCTTTCTTCTGAACATGTAGAGACCAATAGTTGCACCTTAAACAATCACTCATGAACTTTTAAGATACCAGACACTGCTCACCAAAGTAGGATGTAGAACATTGTCTTTATGTATTATGTTATGCCAATTGACCATGGTGTCCCATGAGACTATGGTACTGAGCCCCCCAGGTCTAGCAACTCACTGCCTTAACATGTTTGATAACGTCTAAGAAGTTTTCATCATTTTGCCCACTGTATGCTTCACCACATTCATAGTTGTGTATGCAGGAAAGGTAAATACCCATGTACACATATCCTCTTTCAACTTCATCACATTCAAGACTTTCACAGGATGGGTGAGTTGTTTGTGGCCCAATGATAGGCATTGAAACTTTGAGAACAAAAATGATAAGGGAGACACAATACTTGAAGGGAAAGAAATTTCCAAGGCTTAGAGGAAGTAGAAAACAGGAGAGAGAGGGAAAAGAAGGCTATGAAAAATGAGAAGAGAATTGAAAGTCCTATAACAAACATTAAGGCTGAACTCTAGAGCTGTAGAGTAGAAAGGAAATGTTCATTAAAGAGTGTTATGGTCTCCTAAAAGCATTATCTACTGGTCAAAAAGGGAACGATACTTCTTAGAGTCATTAAATTTATTCATTCAGTCAACAGTATTTATGGATGCCTGCCATATCCCTGAAGCTCTGGTGATGCAGTGGTTACAGTGCTCACTGCTAACCAAAAGGTCAGTCGTATAAGCCCATCTGTTGTTCTGCAGCAAAAAGGCATGTGCAGTCTGTTTCCAGGGAAAATTACAACCTTGGAAACACTATGAGGTACTATAGAGTTGCTGTGGTAGAAATTGACTGATGGATTTGTTTGGGGTTTACCATATGTCCTGGTGGCACAAATGGTTAAGGGCGTGACTGCTAACCAAAAGGTTGACAGTTTGAACCCAACACAGTGACTCTGTGAGAGAAAAACCTGAAATCTTCTTCCAAAATTTATAGCCAAAGAAACCTTAGGGGGCAGTTCTACTCTGTCACATGGGAACGTTATAAGTTAAAAATCACTCAGCAATAGTACCTATATGCCCTTTGAGTCAGGCATGGTGTAACCAGTTAAGTGGAAAGTTAGCAGTTCAAACTCAAGGTGCCAACCTTGGAAGAAAGGCCTGGTGATCTGCCCAAAAAGTTGCAGCCTTAAAATCTCTATGTACCCACTGAATAGTTTTCATCTTGTCTAGACGGGTATGGTGAACAGAGATGGGGATAAGATTCTTATGATTCAACTGTGAATAATTGTTATCATGACTAATTGTTATCATGACTGTCACAATTGTAAAGTTAGAGGTTTTGTAACAAAAAGGGGGGAATAGTTAATCTTATAGTCCAGGAACAGAGCACCCTAGGACCATAAAAGAAGGAGAGCATGAGTGGAATATGAGACCCTATCCAGAGAAGCAGTGACACCAGAGATGCAGGCAGAGATGAGGATATGGAGTGATAGAGCAGCTGAGGACGCTACACTCATAGGAAGAGAAACGCTATATACTAGCAGCTAGGAGGCAGGCTTACAGAATGTGCCCATGGGTTGTTTAAATGATTATATATTCCTGAGTGCTTTTGTGTACATACACAAAAAAAAAAAAAAAAAACCCGAGGCAATAAAAGCAAATACTGTTGAATGATGATGCGTGGAGGAGATTGTACTCATTGCAATGAAATGATGAATATAAAACCAATGTTCTCTCATGTTAACTTGGTTAAAGTCTTACCCTCATGGATTGGGAGCTGGATATACTTTCTCTGAGTCTGGAAGACCCTGGACTCGGCCTCAGCAGACCAGCAGAATGTATAGTTCTGGGTCCTCGCCACCCCTGGGAGGCCAAGAACTCTTTCCATAACTAGCCACCCTGTCCTCAGCTGTCCTCTGGGTTGACAGTTTCTCCAAGTAACAAGCACTCTGACCTCAACTGCCTTCTGAGTTGTCATGAACTACTTGCTAGATCAGGTTCCCTGACTCCAGATAACATTTAGGTCTGCAGGGAGTCCTACCCAGCCCCTACCTGTCTCTCTCACCACCACCATCACACATACTCCATGAGCTCCTTGGCTGGCAAAGAGTGCCAACCCATATGGGTGCCATGGCTGCCATAGTTTCTCCTCTGTGGTCCTACCTCTGCTCCACTTTCCTTTCTTTTCTTCTACATGGCCACTGGTGGGTTTGAACTGCAAATGTTTCAATTAGCACCTGAGCACTTAACCACTGCATCACCAAAACCCAAAACCAAACCTGTTACCATTGAGTTAATTTTAACTTATAGCGACCCTCTATAGGGTTTTGAAACTATAAATCTTTACTGGAGCAGACAGCCTCATCTTTCTCCCAAGGAGTTGCTGGTGGGTTTGAACCACTGACCTTGTGATTAGTAGTCCAATACCTAAGACCCAGTGCCACTAGGACTCCTTAATAAAAAATTAACATTATAACTTTGTAAAAACCAAGAAATGTGAAAATAAAGCCATTTTTATCCCTTATGTCCTAAAATAGTTGGAGGGTTGTGGGGAAAGATATTTTAAAGTTCAAATTAATAAAAAGAAAGTCAGAAGAACCAAGATTATGCGCTATTCAAAGTATTGGTATTGGAATTTCCTGATTTAAATACTGAGTCTGTTCACTGAGGATTTTCCTGT